TATGAACGATTCGTTAGTCTTTCGGGCAGTATCACCGAAACCGAAAGAATTTTGTAAAAGTGTGAAGAATGGGAGCTGAGTAATGTGAAAAACATGGAAAATGGGTCCCAATGAAAAATAAAGTGAATTTCCAAAAAGTTATCTACCTAGAAGTGAGAAACGTTTTTGGTCTTTAAAGTTACAAGTCTTTCATGTGGCATTAAATTTGTTTGAAGGTAAACCCGGCAAAATTGTGAAAATTAGACACAAAGGTAGGAAAACGATAATTTTCTCATAATTATCCTTTGTCGTAAAATTGACATGTTCCATTTCTTTGATTATTTTCCAGAGGTCTATCTTACCAGAAGCTATTTAATATCACCATTTGATAGATTCTTGGCAGTTTTTTCACACACGCGGTCTTCAGGGAAATGGCAGAACAAATCCCTCACAACGGGTCAACACCGATATGCGTTGTCTCATTGTTAGAATAATTTTTCAGGCCGACGACCATTAATGTCACTATTGCCCATGCGCAAATACACAACATGAAATAATGCATGCAGTCTATGGGGCACGCATGCCTTATATAACCCTTATATTACCACATCATCCGCGAATCCACGAAGTGCACGTGATATGTGCGCTGGATATTCTGTATTTTTTTACGTGTTGTAGACCTTTGTACTCATTTAACCCTAGTTTAACCCTCACGTGCTCGGATTAACTATATGCAGTTTGCGACCATTCATTTAGTGCATGTGACGATCCTCGTTTAAATGTTCTAAGATCCCCATATTTGAACTATGTAGTTTTGAGAGTTCAAAACAAGTTTAACGTTGCTTTTGTTCGGGAACCAGTGCCTATGCATTTGATAAAAACTTTGCCCCCATTCAATATGAAATTTTAAAGACTATAAGCAAACAGTTGGGAGGAACATTTTATCGAAATATCGAGGACATTATTCCGTACATTCAATTGGGTTTTACTGACTGAGGTTTTGCCATTTTAGGTGTACGGAAGTTGCCAACTGTTGAGCAAGAAACTGAAATTTTAAGCTGGCGTAGTTAACACATCCACACAGATAAGGGGAGGATGGCTGAACGTTTAATTAAATAGTAAGTAGTAATTGCTTATTGGGAATTGTAATGTACCTCTTAAAAATGCACAAAAAGTCGTGTAGCTCAGTGTTCAAGAAAGCAAAGCGCTAGAGAAAAAATAAAAACAACGTGTTGAAAGAGGGGCTGGGTAAGATGATCGAACACACACAAAAAAATGAGCTGTGTAAGATGACCCATATGAATACCGAAGTTGTTTGTTAAAAACACGTCTATAAAACAGCAGGTTACTCATACAACACCCGAGTGGTCCGTTTTACATCTTCATGGAACTGCCATACAGGTGATGACTTTGCAAACGGTTTTGATCTGACGTGTCAACAAGTATTGCGTAACGGTAGAGTTGCTAAGCTTGTACCTACATATATATTCCGTGTATGAAGCACGTTGGGGTAGAAGTCGTTTATTTAGTTCACATGCAAGTGTCATTGGTGCCGTACGTACGGAAAACGTTTATCGCTGAAACTGAAAAAAATGGAGAGAGAAAGAACTAGTATTGACTACCAAGAAACTGCCCTTGATGGTGTACTGGAAGGAGTCAAATTAGACAACTACATATCAACACCGGTAAGTGAAAGCATGGAGCAAGGAACAGACGTGACCCCCAGGCATTGGAATTTAACTGGACCAGTGGTAGTAAAAATGTTACGGTGAATTTTCAGGCATTCTGTGTTTCATTTTCACTTTGCACGAGACTCTTGGATAAAAGTTAACATTCAAAAGTCATTAATGATGCGGCGGAATATAATGAAGTTGTTAACCTTATCACACTCTAATCTTGAAAATAATGTGTTCTGCATATCTAGCCAAGGCACTCAATTTAAACATGATGAGGCTGGCCGAGGCGGCACGACGAGCCCCGAGTTTTTGTGCCAATCCGATAAATTCTCATCGCCATTTTGTAGGGATTGGAATCGGATCGGGCTTATAGGTGTCCACTGCCGAATGTACCCTTCGTAGTTTGTTAGTTAGTAAAACACATTTTAAATTACTGGTTAACGTTCTTCATTCCGATCCGTTTCCCCGGATTGATAGAGGCTGAACGAGGAGCCTCACAATAGGGTCTGTTCTTTGACGGCACAATCGTGTTTTCCTACAAGTCACTGCTTTTAATATATATCGCTGGCCTTCGGGACAAAAGTAAAACAATAATTCACAAAGTGTTAAAAAATCTCATGCAACTTTCAGAACAGAAGATAACAGTACATGTAGGCCTACTATTAAATACTGAATGAAACTACATCCCTATTTAAAATTAATGGGACGGATATACAGTTTGAACGACTTTGATGTAACATTGAAACCAGTCAAAGGTGATTTCTGCAAACTTTTGCCGCCCATACAAGTTGTAAGCAAATGAGATTGGTCTAATCTTGGGGGTATTAAGTTGATTTAAGGAGAAACGACGAAAATTGGAGAATCAAAGAATCTGCACCTTTTGAGTCGTTTCTCCCACTTAAACCACGTTTCTCTCTAAAGTTTTCCGGTCTTGTTTAAATTTGGTCGGTAAAAGGCCAAGACAGTGTTGTAATTCTCAGCTTTCAATGATGCATAATCGCGCATTTGCGCGATTGCATCATTTTCTTTCAGCCAGTCTTTGGTGTTGCCGGCACACGTCTATATCAGTCCCCCGGGGTAGTTAAGTTTAAGTAATGGTCGTTGGGATTATTTATCCTAATTACCAAAGTTCATATCTTCCATCAGGGGCAGCCTCAGCAGACTGGCAGGGAAGAGTGAACTGTGGCAGATAAGCTACACTGCAATTTTCATTATACTACAGCATTCTAGATGTTACTCTCGGTTGCTGTTTGCCGTTTTTATTTTATACTAGCTAAATGTGGCTCAACCTGATAAGGCCACGATACTCCACTAAAAGCACGAGGTTGAGTTCCAGCTGATATATACCGTCCCGGGACAACGGGCACCATGCCCCCCCCACACACACACCCAACTATCAACAATTAAAAAAAACAGATATTATGACAGAAAAGCGATTTGGGTGTCATTTCCTTTCCTTCAGAAAGTGTAAACCCCGTATAATGTAGCCTTAACCCTCAGAAAGGCCATAAAAGATTACATTTAAAACTCCAATTTTTACCCTCTCCGAAAATGTTTGGCCCCTCGAAAATAAGACTCTGGATCCGCCCTTGTCTTTGTGTACCCTGTAAAAGATTTTTGTTTTTTATTGCGATTTTTTTCTGTTATATGGTTTTACATGGAATATTCATATAAATAAAGAAAAATAAATTTTTTCTAACTTTTACTCATTTTTTGGTAATTTGCCAGAACTTTTGTGATTTGATCTAAACTTTGTAAAAAAACAGGGTGTCATGCAAAAATTTAGTTCTCTTTACATGTTCTTTTTCAGTAATAGACAAGTCTCTGCCATTCTACGCTGCAAATGTAAAATTACAATGGAAAACGTATTTTTTTTTGTTTTTTTACCGCTGTTGTTTTTAATCTTATTACGGTTTTTTACAACATTTCTGTAGGCGATTCCTATTAGTTAAGTGTTTTACACTACATCCATGTAAATACAGATGTTTCTACTTCCTGGTAATAACATTTACACTGATGGTGTTTTTTTAACACGTCTCTGTTACTTTACAAAACAAAATGGTTAAATCATGGCTGCTGTGGGTTTTTTTTACGAAATTGGCATCATTGCTTTGCTTGTTCTTCTCATCAAATACGTTTAGGTAATCATCTTTTCTTAGTTTTTAAGTTGTCGATATATTTTTTCGTCAAATTTTAGAAACATTTGTTGAACTGCAACTATTTCCAGTGCTGGGCTTGGGCCTAATCTATACCACTGAAATTGAATAAGTTTGATGTCCATCCCCAGATATAGTAGGCTATTGTCCTCTTTTGCAACAATGTCGCTCAGGAGTGGAAAGCTTTGATATAAAGTCTGTGTTAAAATGTTGGGGTATGATGGATTGGCTGCACGATGAAATGAATGTTACATGCAGGATCCGTTAATTGTGAGTCAGAGTTTAATCGAGGGTACCGGTAAAAACTCCACGAGAAAAGTGTTTTTTAACAAGCTGTTTCTTCATTTCAAAACCGTTCTGTCTCGGATCACGCTGAAATGCCATGCTTTCTTGGGCGTCAGCAAATCAGAAGCTCGCCAGCATGCGGGTTCAGCGCGCGCGGGGGGTTTGGGATTGTGGCGTGATATGACCATCGATCCAGATTGCAGCTGTGTGCAGAGGAAACTCGTCCATGTCGTCACTTAGTCACAGCCAGCGCCAAAGTAAAGGTAATTTTACTTGCATTTTTGTATGCATGGTTGATATTCAACCTACTACAGTATATTCAGTCGATGTAGAAATAATGAAAATTCATAAATAAGAGTGAAACTAAAGGTAAAACTTGTGAAAAAGTCTAGTTGAAGGCCATCCGACATGTCCAAAGAGTTAGGGGTGCACCACTGAAAGTAAATTCCCATAGACAGCAGTGATAAATCCCCATACTTCACAAATATTTTAAATTTTTAATATTTAAAAATACAACTCT